GCACTATGCGTCTTCTGCTTTGTTTCTTCTCGATCTGATGAGCATTTCTACGACCTGAAAGGATCTATTTTACTGTGATACTACGGGCCTCCCTCCCCCTCCTAAGAAGCGAAAACGCGCTTGAGACCTACTCTGTGGGTCCACAGACCCAGGTGAGCACTCCTTTGTCATTTGTGCATTCCCTTGGTGGAGGTGAAGGATTATCAAAGAGTATTTTGTTTGTATACATTGCACCGCATCGTTTGATTTGTTTTGGACTTTATTTCACTGTGCATGTTATGTGGTTTGAGTTCAGCCTATAACTCTTGTTGTATTTTTCACTGTTTATATTTGATTGTTTTTTCAGCTCGGCTCATTTTTGCATAAATATTTTGTATTATATCAGATATAATTTTAGTGCTTAGTAGCTCTTTTTCACCTTTTTTGTGTCATCACTGGTGCAGATCGTTTTTGTTTATTAGACTTGTGCGCCGTCAAAAAATTTGTTCTGTTTCGTTTCGTTTCGGAATATCCGTTATTTCGTATTTACTGCTTGTATTCTAATGCAACTCTCAGCGGCAGAAGAGAACCTCTGATTGGTCAACCAAAACGAAATATGAATTCCGTTAATGGATTCCGTATGCGAATTTCGTATTTAGAAAAAAAATACCATCAACTCCAATATAAATGTGCTTTGCTTTTTAACTTTAATATAACGAATGTTCGTAACGGAACGAAAATACGTCAACGGAATTTCGTATTTCCTGCCTGTGTGTGTAACTGTGTATTGTAATGCAACCCTCAGCAGCAGCGGATCCGGATCTCGGATTAAAAAAAAAATCTTGTGATGTTGTTCAACCTCATTTATAATTTACAGGGGTAATATTAGTTCCTGTTTCAAAGAAATTCGGATCCGAAATTCGTTAACGGAATTTCGTATTTCGGATATAATTCGGAAACTGCCATTCGGATTTCGGATGCTCCGAAATTCGGAATTTCAGGAAAATTCGTACGAATTTCGATTTGTAACGAAACGAATCGCACATGTCTATTGTTTATTTGATATACCCTGAAATGTAGCAGTTTTGGCATTTCAGTTTTGTTGTAATCCATGGTATAAACTGAATTCATTGTGAATGACCTGACATTTTGTGCTATGAGGTATTTTTTATCCAGGCAGGTGACAGGACAAATGGATGACAGTCATCTGGGGTAGCTGGAAGTTTGTCTGAGATCATTTGTATTCATGACAATTGATATCCTGATAGCATACAGCTTGACCTGTTATATCTAGAACTATCCATCATAAAATGTAAAACAAATGCATTATAGAACATTTGCTGATGGTATACAGCCTCATAATGTGATTGTGGTACCTTATCTATCTGTATCTGGCTATCATTTGCCTTTCTTAAACCCAGTACCCTTCCATATAACATGCACTGCCCTCCATAATATTTGTCATGCCCTTTGATATGACATCTCAGTGACACATTGGAGTTGATTTACTAAAGAGTAAGGAGTAGAAAATGTTTGTTTATCAAAGTGAGCATTCATAGTGCAAACAGGGCCGGTGCTAGGATTCGTGCCTACACAGGCAAGGTGCATTTTTGCGCCACCCTCCCCGACGCCCTGTAAAAACAGGGCATTTGAAAAGTACTTGTACTTGTCAAAATGCCCCGATGTTTGCGCTATGGGGCTGCAGAAAACACACATGACGGCCAGTGTGCCCAGGGCCGGTGCTAGGATTCGTGCCTACACAGGCGAGGTGCTTTTTTGCGCCCCCCCTCCCAGACTCCGACCCCCTGTAAAAACAGTGCATTTTGACAAGTACCTGTACTTGTCAAAATGCCCCTATGTTTGCGCTATGGTTTTCGTTTTTTTCACTTACCTTCGGTGCGGGAGAGCAGCGGCGAGTCAGCGCTGGTCCGGTGGGAGGAGCTCCAGGTGGGGTCCTAATTTAGCTGGCCGGCCGGTGTCGGGATCCTCTGGCAGTCGCCGGCCAGCTAAATTAGGACCCCACCTGGACCTCCTCCCACTGGACTAGCGCTGACTCGCCACTGCTCTCCCGCACCGAAGGTAAGTGAAAAAAAAAAAAACATAGCGCAAACATCGGGGCATTTTGACAAGTACTTGTCAAAATGCTCTGTTTTTTCCGCCCTCACCCTGCAGTGCCGTCAGGCGGCCGCCTGACTTGCCTTGCGGTAGCGCCAGGCCTGAGTGTACCAATCTCTGTTCTTACCTTCCATATGTTGCACATTAGCCACCTTATCTTCATCTGTATGTGAACTGTACATTAACCCCTTCATCTCCTCCTCCCTCTGTGTATGACCTGTACATTAATAATGCACTGTATCTTGTACACTATTACCGAGCTCTATTTTTAACCCCTGCAATAACAGCATGTTTCTTCACTTTAAAAAAATTGTGAAAAAAAAGTAGATCACCTTGACCAGAAGGGGTCAATGTGGGAGGACTTGTAGTCTTGTTGATTTTCTTTTGCTATGTTTATAACAGAAAGTTGTTTAAAAATGTGTGGCCTTTTTCCTGTATATAGTGAAAAGTGAAATGCTCAAGTGAACCTGCAAGAGAACCATGCCAATTATGTTTGTAGTGATTTCCCCCTGCTTTTGTACATTCCCTTTTAGAAAGTCGGGCCCTTAGGCAATAACCCAGTATTAGAAAGGAAAGGGATAAATGTATGAATGAACTATTGAATCAACGACTTATTCAGTTAAATAAGAACTCTGGGAAAAATTAAAAAGTACCCTTGCAGTGGGGCTACCCCTGCACTGTAAGGGTTAACTGCTCATTTTGTCAGGAAGGGGGTGCACAAATAAAACAGATAGTCTTACCTCATCCTCTATCCCACCAGCTACTTCTAGGCTGCTAGACTGATGCCAGAAGCCTCTTCTCCCACGGGCTCTGGTGGTCTTATGACCACTGGTGTCATTACATCTTATGCAGGTCCAGTGACCTGCATTAGACGTGAGCACACCGAGGGACATTGTATAGCTGGAGCAAAGGGGGAGAGAGGTGAGCACTGAGTGCTGCAAGGATCAGGAAAATGAATCTGCTTTATTTGAGCCTCCTAGACCAGGATTTCTCAACCTTTTCCCAGTCATTTCACCCTTTAAAAGTAGGCAACATCTTGAGGCACTGCAGTCTAAAATGTAAGACATAAATGTACTAATGTAAAAAACTACAAGTGGCCCCTTTAAAATCCATGCTAGACCCTTGTCCCAGATATGGTTCTGATATGGATTTTAAGGGGTAGCCCCATTCAAAAAAATTAGGTCCCTCCCCCTTGCCCACTTTGTCTGACCTTGATCACATCAAGAGCCTCCTCTTTTCACATCAGCGGCTCCGTCTCTCAAAGTAGGAGCCCCCTTTCTCATTATCAGTCCCCCCGTCACATTAAAGTTCCCGCTTCTCATCAGGAGCCGCCTTCAGAGTCTTGAGTCCATCCTTCACATCAAAGACCTGAGTCCCACCTTCACATCACAGTCCTACTATCACATCGGTAGCTGCAGCTGGAGCTGTGGTAGCATGGCAGAGGATGGGAGCCAAAGTAAGCCTGGATGGAGGTGAACTTCTATCCCTTTCTGAAAGGATCCCACCCTCCCTGGATTAACATCATTCATTTCCATGGTGCTGGTGGCTAGCGCGCATGCACAGATCACTGGCGGGGAGAGGAAGAGAGACACACTGTAAGTCAATGCACGCAGCCGTGAGCGTGCACGTCGGAGAGGACAGGAAGAAACAGCAGTCTGCACTGAATCAGAAACCGGCACCAGCACTGGAGGGATTGCTGAAAACTACTGGAAGGAAGAAGTTGATCGGATCAAGAGGCATCACTTAAGGTAAGTCCTTAC